CTTACAAGAGTTTAGCAGTGAATATAGCAAGAGAGTATGCAGAGCATAGCAATCCCTTGTAGCAGATTCCCCCAATAAGTGACGGCACTCCACATTGAGGGTGAAGTAGAACTGACTGTACTGGCACATACAGCCTCTTTTATTCACATTCTACAAACATAGTACTGCCCACAGGGTTTTGAAATACAACCAATCAATCCGTACAATACACACAGACACTCCCACACAAAATCCTCCCCTCTGCCTGTGATATGATTACTGAACACAATAGTTAACCTAATTATCACAGGCAGAGAAATACAGTATTATAAAACATATCACAGGGACCCCAAAACATGCAATAACCCCATAAAGAATATATCTTCGGAACCGGATCCCATATCCGTTCAGTAGTTTGGAAGATACGGTTTAATGCAGATTCTGCAGAACATATACAGGCTATATGAAAAATAATTACTGTTAAATGTGTCCCCTGTTCTGTAGTTTAAAACCACTGCACGATGTCTTTGTGCACCAAATACCGGCGAGATGGCACTGTGTAGAAAGGTCCAAATAGTGTCTGTGAGTTAAAATGGCCGCCATCCATTGTTTTCACCATGTGCTTCATCCATTGTTCTCACCATGTGTCTCTGATACAGGAAATGGTGGCCACCCAGTAACTCCACAGTATGTCCCCAGATGGTTCTTAAAGGGCCAGCAGCAGCATAATAAAATACAATATGCCCAAATCAGTTCCTTAAAGGGCAATACATCCCAGGGCCATAGTCGCAGGGCAGGAGGCTGGCAAACAGGCCCCTCCAAAAACCAGTGGCGAGGTCACTTTTTCGCCACAGGGGCGCAGTATATTAAGGTTGGGGCGCAGTATGTTTAAGGGACACTATAGTCACCAGAACAACTACAGTTTATTGAATTTGTTCTGGTGAGTAGAATCATTACCTTCAGGCTTTTTGCTGTAAACACTGTCTTTTCAGTGTTTGTTTTCCTGATCCTGTAGTATCCCTTTATGATAGGGGTGCAGTATGTTAAGATAGGGGAAGACAGACTTATACAGTATGAATAGGTTTATGAAACTATTACATTCTTCTACTCGTCTCTGTATTAAAGGTAATTAAACACAGGATGTTGTTTTACGAAGTATTACAGTTGTCTGCTGTCCTATTGGCTGTCTCTTGTGGTAAATGTGGCTGTCCTATTGGCTGTCTCTTGCGGTAAATATGGCTGTCCTATTGGCTGTTTCTTGCTGCTGTGGCTGAGGGTCACTGGTGTAATTTGAGGGGTGCTTAATATGTGTATCCGTGAGCAGTAGAAAGTGTGAGCATAGTGGGGGATGAATAAACTTAATGTTCTTATAGTCTTTTTGTTTGCGTCCCTCAGCCTGCTCGCCTTGGGTGGAGGAAACAGGCGTACAGCAAACGTGGTAGCTCATGGATTCACCAACCTTTTCATCCTGGACAAGAAGGACCTAAACGACATTTTAACGCATTACCCAGAGTCCCAGAAAGTGCTCCGCAGAAAGGCCAAGTAAGTGATTAATGGAGAGCTGCTTCTCCTCCCAGCGCCCCGGCTTCGCCCTGTAATAACACTGTCTTCTCCAGGAAAATGCTGAAGAACACCAGCAAACCGAAAGATGACAATAAGACCCAAAAAGGCTTCCAACACATTATCCCACCCAGACCAGAGACCCCCAAACTGCTGAAGGCTGCTATTGCTGCTACAGAAAAAATGGGTTTCAAGGGATTTTCCAGACTGAGACGCCAGCTTAAAGTGAAGAAAACTGTGGCGGTAATCACAGGACGATACAAACTAAGGCATCCACCGCTAGTACTATCTACCTGGCTTTCAATTCAAGCCACAGCTTGCAGATGTTCTATCTGGTGGATCCAGCATTTTCTGTGCCGAGGGCAGGGTCATGCTGGGCAGAGGGCAGGGTCATGCTGGGCAGAGGGCAGGCTCATGCTGGGCAGAGGGCAGGGTCATGCTGGGCAGAGGGCAGGGTCATGCTGGGCTGAGGGCCGGGTCATGCTAGCCGAAGGCAGGGTCATGCTAGCCGAAGGCAGGGTCATGCTGGGCTGAGGGCAGGGTCAAGCTAGGCCGAGGGCAGGGTCACGCTGGGCTGAGGGCAGGGTCACGCTGGGCCGAGGGCCGGGTCACGCTGGGCCGAGGGCCGGGTCACGCTGGGCCGAGGGCAGGGTCACGCTGGCCGAGGGCAGGGTCACGCTGGGCCGAGGGCAGGGTCACGCTGGGCCGAGGGCAGGGTCACGCTGGGCCGAGGGCAGGGTCACGCTGGGCAGAGGGCAGGGTCACGCTGGGCAGAGGGCAGGGTCACGCTGGGCAGAGGGCAGGGTCACGCTGGGCCGAGGGCCGGGTCACGCTGGGCCGAGGGCCGGGTCACGCTAGCCGAGGGCAGGGTCACGCTGGGCCGAGGGCAGGGTCACGCTAGCCGAGGGCAGGAGTACAGTAGCATGGTAGCAGTTCCAGTTATGCTCAGCCAAGGAAACAGAACCATTAATACAAGGGCGTAATAATAAGGGAAACGAAGTGTAAAACAGCAGAGGTTCTGTATAAAGAACTATACAGCAGCATTCTAATAGTGAAACAATCACCATGGAAACCAATGGGATGTTCCTGCTGATTGCTCCACTTTACCCAGAACTCTGTTTGTGTAAAATGAATGCAGTATAAACCAGGAGTACAGATCAGAGTGACCCACTTGTGTAATTCCTTCCACAGCCCACGAGCACCAGCCCAGTGCCTCCTGGATCCCCCGTTCACCACCGCTCTCCAGTACCACCCACCAAACCAGAAGATGACCCAACGGATATTGTGTCTGAGTCTGCTGATAACACCGTGTTTATTCGTGTCAGTCCGGCCCCCGGTGGTGATGAACAAATCCTTTCTGTGGAAATAACGGCACCTGAGGATGAGAAGAAATAATGGAAAGCAATGAGTTAATGGGGCGCACTGCGTGGCTATGAGTGAACCCCCTTGTAGACATTGGGGGAAATCCCATCCTGAGCCTATTTAAAGAATCTAGAACAGAATAAACTGGGGTGTCGCATTAGTGAACCCCGCATAGCATACACCCCGACACATGGAGGATCTAAACTGGGGTATTGCAGTCAGTAAACCCCTCATAGCATACATCCTGACACAGAGGATCTATAACAGAATAAACTGGGGTGTCGCAGTCAGTAAACCCATCATAGCATACATCCCGACACAGAGGATCTAGAACAGAATAAACTGGGGTGTCGCGGTCAGTGAACCCCTCATAGCATACACCCCGACACATGGAGGATCTAGAACAGAATAAACTGGGGTGTCGCATTAGTGAACCCCGCATAGCATACACCCCGACACATGGAGGATCTAGAACAGAATAAACTGGGGTGTCGCAGTAGTAAACCCCTCATAGCATACACCCCGACACATGGAGTGTCTAGAACAGAATAAACTGGGGTATCGCGGTCAGTGAACCCCTCATAGCATACACCCCGACACATGGAGGATCTAGAACAGAATAAACTGTTGTGTCGCAGTAGTGAACCCCTCATAGCATACACCCCAACACACAGAGGATCTAGAACAGAATAAACTGGGGTGTCGCAGTAGTAAACCCCTCATAGCATACACCCCGACACATGGAGTATCTAGAACAGAATAAACTGGGGTGTCGCGGCCAGTGAACCCCCCCATAGCATACACCCCCCGACACACAGAGGGTCTAGAAGAGAATAAACTGGGGTGTCGCGGCCAGTGAACCCCTCATAGCATACTCCCCGACACACAGAGGGTCTAGAACAGAATAAACTGGGGTATCTCAGTCAGTGAACCTCTCATCGCATACACCCCGACACATGGAGGATCTAGAACAGAATAAACTGGGGTGTTGAAGTCAGTGAACCCCTCATAGCATACACCCCGACACATGGAGAATCTATAATAGAATAAACTGGGGTGTCGCAGTAGTGAACCCCTCATAGCATACACCCCGACAAACAGAGGATCTAGAACAGAATAAACTGGGGTACTGCAGTCAGTGAACCCCTCATAGCATACAGCGCGACACATGGAGGATCTAGAACAGAATAAACTGGGGTGTCGCAGTAGTAAACCTCTCATAGCATACACCCCAACACACAGAGGATCTAGAACAGAATAAACTGGGGTGTTGCAGCCAGTGAACCCCTCATAGCATACACCCCGACACACAGAGGGTCTAGAACAGAATAAACTGTGGTATCGCGGTCAGTGAACCCCACATAGCATACACCCTGACACACAGAGGATCTAGAACAGAATAAACTGGGGTATCGCGGTCAGTGAACCCCTCATAGCATACACCCCGACACATGGAGGATCTAGAACAGAATAAACTGGGGTGTCGCAGTAGTGAACCCCTCATAGCATACACCCCCCGACACACAGAGGATCTAGCACAGAATAAACTGGGGTATCGCGGTCAGTGAACCCCTCATAGCATACACCCCGACACATGGAGAATCTATAACAGAATAAACTGGGGTGTCGCAGTAGTGAACCCCTCATAGCATACACCCTGACACATGGAGGATCTAGAACAGAATAAACTGGGGTGTCGCAGTAGTGAACCCCTCATAGCATACACCCCGACACATGGATGATCTAGAACAGAATAAACTGGGGTATCGCGATCAGTGAACCCCTCATAGCATACACCCCGACACATGGAGGATCTAGAACAGAATAAACTGGGGTGTTGCAGTCAGTGAACCCCTCATAGCATACACCCCGACACATGGAGGATCTAGAACAGAATAAACTGGGGTGTCGCAGTAGTGAACCCCTCATAGCATACACCCCGACACATGGAGGATCTAGAACAGAATAAACTGGGGTGTCGCAGTAGTGAACCCCTCATAGCATACACCCCGACACATGGAGGATCTAGAACAGAATAAACTGGGGTGTTGCAGTAGTGAACCCCTCAACGCATACACCCCGACACACAGAGGATCTAGAACAGAATAAACTGGGGTATCGCAGTCAGTGAACCCCTCATAGCATACACCCCGACACATGGAGGATCTAGAACAGAATAATAGAACTCCCCATATTCTTCATAAAGGTCCCCATTGGCTGCCGAGTGATTGCTGCTACTCTGGATACACATGTACCAGCAGGGTGAAAGCAGAACATACACGGCAGCCTGTCCTAGGTTATGGCCGAGAGCCGTTCCACTAGACGTTTTGGTGTAACGCCACAGTCACAGTAGTTATGTCTTTAACTACACAATCCTAGTGCTTTACCTTGGCGTTGGCCGTTCCTTTTTTACAGTGCTCTGACTTTCAGCCATTGGTTTTATTCAGTAAATGCAAGTCGCTATTTTTTAAATAAATGTCTTCATACAATTCAATGTGAGGTGCCTACTGTGTTTTATGGGATGGATGTTTGCAGGTATCAGACTGGGAGCCGTACAGCAATACTGCTTGAATTATTAAGTGTTATTGCATAGCAAGACCACTTAATGTTATCTCACATATATATTATTATTATTATAGCCAAATTTGCCACCCTAACTCCTCCCACAGTTTTTACACTACATAGACCAAAATTTACCAAAACGTGCAGATTGTTCCCGATCGGAATGCTATTACTTTGTGGAACGTTTCGCCGAATGTTTCACGGAATATCGTCGTTCTTGTGGCGAAATTTGTCCCATAGGAATGAATGGCAAGCTAGAGTGGGAGCTGGCAAAAGCTGAAAAATCAGGACATGATTTCTAAACTGCCACCACTCCCTTATTTTCAGGCCCATCTACACAAATCTTATATCAAAACGTTCAGCTATCCCTGCTGCCACTAAACATGTCAACGGCTAAGCCATAGTCCTGATAGTTTTCACAATATAATCATTTGTTTGCAATTAACGCCGTCCATTGACTTTCATTGAAACTTCACTCTGCAAAGCTCAAATTTGAAGTGCAATTTCTAAACTGCGACTGTGCCTTCAATTTTAATACTTCAGAGACATACTATGCATCAAAATGTAGGTCTGGGTCTTGTGATTCTCACAATATAAAGCTCTTCGCTGTAGGAATTATAGTTTTTAAGATACTACCGTTTGAAGATGGCAACCGCCAAAATACTCTGACCTGTGCTAGGCTGCAGCAGCAAGTGATGTCATAGACAGGGCCTTTTGAACACCTGCTAATGTTTTTATAAATGTATGGTTTAATGTAACTGTGCAACAACGTTGCAATTAAATGTGCTATATAAATGATAACAGTTACTCCGCCCACTCCAGTTGTAGACTACTGGTGGAGGCAAGAACACTTCACACAATTTCCCCAGAAATTGTAGCTTTTCTAGTTATTATCTAGAGCTCTGTCTGTGCAGAGAGACCGTGTCTAATTCGATATGTGTGTGATTGAATCATTCATTTTACTTGTGAGGCAATTTTGTTTTCTGTGATGGCTACTAAACCTACAAGACAAATATACCAAATTCTAAAATTGTTGCAAATTGAAATTTTATTTTAGTCCTTGTATTTTGTGACCTGTAACTTTCAAAATAAGCTGAAATCCTACACATATTATGTACTCTATAAATCAAGACACATAAATGAATTTATTTTGATTTACTTTTCCTAAGCTGGACATATTATGCACACGCTATTATTTCCAAAACTGGGGGGGGATGGAATTTAATTTAATTTTTTTTTTTTTTTGGCTTTTTATCTTATAAATAATTAATGAGAATTTATACATGTATATGTGACATTGAATTAAAGCCCTTTTTGCCCTCTAAAAACCGATATATAATATGTGTTGGTGCAATAAATGTGAGAGATGTGAGCAAATTGTGGTTAAACACCTTATGGGTAAGTCCAGTTTCTGAAGCGGTGTCTGTAAGGGATTAATTCCACTGATCTCTTTATCACTCAACCCTTGTAACCTCCTTTTTATATGTGTTATTGTAAAGATGTACGTTTCGGTACTCTGACATTCTGATCTCCTGATAACATGGAACATTAGCCGGCAGGAGAACTGCTGGAGGGATATAAGCTATTGTAAAATGCAGCTGAAAGCTTTGATAATTACCACACTGTTATCGATAGATGATCTCAAATTGTGAAACCAGTCACATGTGTTACAAAGGACTCGAAATGACTCCATTATTGTTATCATGTTGTTACTGTTGCAGCCCTATACTTTTAACACGGGGGAAACACGAATGGATTATACGAATTCTTATAAAGACCCATTCGTGATACGAACGAGAGACCCCCCAAACGCTGGCGTGTGCCGCCAATTAACCTCTTCACCCTGCAAAGTACCGAATGGCCGAACCCCCGACAAGCGGAGTGTGGCGCCCATTAACCACCCAGGCGGCTGCGGTTAACCACAAACTAATTGACGGGCAAGGAGGATCGACGTTCACCCCAAATCACCGAAGGGGAACTACCGAATAACCTCACGAACGGAGACCCCCTACAGCGGGACGTGTGTCAGCAATTAGCCTGTGGTTTCTGCGGTTAACCGCAACTCAAGTACCGTGCTACCAGGTAGTCCTAATTCATGTACTGAACGAGCTCCACTACCAGACAGACAGCGGAGATTCGCATGAACTTATACCCGAGTTCAGTTCCATAAGTTGGAGGCGAGGTCCCGCTGCTCGTTAAACCGTCTAAAAACATGGCCGCCATCAGGGACTCACGATCCAAAATACCGAACGGACTTTATACGGCAGAAATAGATCATTCTGTTCGTGGGATTGGAGCGCCATTCGTATGTTTAATGTACCCGAACGCGAGCTATTGAATGAATGGTAGAATGAACTGTTTTCCCCTATTGATGTTAAAGTTATGTATTTTTATACAGTTTTATGAGGCATAATAAAACGTGGTCTCTTGTGCGCTTGGAGATAATTAGATTGTATAACCGTTGGCCTCATTATCTCCAAGCTGGGCGGGTACTAATTCAAATGATACATTGTACTGTGATTGGTTACCTGTTTGTACTGTACCTGTATTCCATCAGGTCCACAGGGGGCTGTCCTTGGACCTGAGGAATCGCATAAATTGCCATGTTTGTGTGCCAGTAAAGCCAGTTCGTTTTGACCCTCAACTTGCAGCCTCGACTCATGTTGTATGGATCCGGGATATTAATGCTTATATCGTGGTTGGGATACTTTACACTTGCAGCTTATTACCGAAGGAACTCCGTTCGACTCTCTACAGCGTGAACCAGGACATCCAAGTGATCAACCCCCCTGCTAGACCGGGGGCAATTGTAACAACATGCACAGAAAGCATCAATTTTTTACACTGTCATATGTGAGTGCGCTGGTAGAGTGCCTGTGATTGATCTCATATGTGAGTGCATTGGCAGAGTGCCTGTGATTTATCTGATATGTGAGTGCGCTGGTAGAGTGCCTGTGATTGATCTGACATGTGTGTGCGTTGGCAGAGTGCCTGTGATTGATCTGATATGTAAGTGCACTGGTAGAGTGTCTGTGATTGATCTGATATGTCAGTGCGCGGGTAGAGTGCTTGTGATTGATCTGATATGAGAGTGCGCTGGTAGAGTGCCTGTGATTGATCTGATATGTGAGTGCGCTGGTAGAATGCCTGTGATTGATCTGATATGTGATTGCGCTGGTAGAGTGCCTGTGATTGATCTGATATGTGAGTGCACTGGTAGAGTGCCTGTGATTGATCTGACAAGTGAGTGCTCTGGTAGAGTGCCTGTGATTGATCTGATATGTGAGTGCACTGGTAGAGTGCCTGTGATTGATCTGATATGTGAGTGCGCTGGTAGAGTGCCTGTGATTGATCTGATATGTGAGTGCGCTGGTAGAGTGCCTGTGATTGATCTGATATGTGAGTGCGCTGGTAGAATGCCTGTGATTGATCTGATATGCGAGTGCGCTGGTAGAATGCCTGTGATTGATCTGATATGTGAGTGCGCTGGTAGAGTGCCTGTGATTGATCTGATATGTGAGTGCGCTGGTAGAGTGCCTGTGATTGATCTGATATGTGAGTGCGCTGGTAGAGTGCCTGTGATTGATCTGATATGTGAGTGCGCCCGTAGAGTGCCTGTGATTGATCTGATATGTAAGTGCGCTGTTAGAGTGCCTGTGATTGATCTGATATGTGAGTGCGCTGTTAGAGTGCCTGTGATGTATTTCATGTGAATGTGCAGTTTAGAGTGCCTGTAATGTGCTATACAGTTGTGCTCAAACGTTTGCATACCCTGGCAGAAATTAGAAACTTCTGGCATTGATTTTGAAAATATGTTTATAAAAGTTTATAAAGTTAATAAAAAGTTTAATAAAGGAAATAAAAGTACTTAGATCATATATATATATTCTAAGTATTTTTATATACACATACATAAACCTATATTCTAAGTGCATTTTACTATATATATATTTCGTTGCTTTTGCACTCCAGCTTCCCAATCTTTCTGCCCGGTGCTCAGCTGCACATATATACCAAAAGATAAGTAGCCAGTACTAAAGGTCTTGTGAAAAACATAGTTCTTTTAATGGTACGAAGATCCCACAATCGGTCAACGTTTCAGTTCTTCATCTAGAACTTCCATCAGGACATAGTATCAAATACATCAACTAAACCACTTTATATAAGAAGTAACAAACTTACCAACCTCCATCACCTGTGTGCGAGCATCTTCCCTCCCTCCATACGTCTGCATGCCCAGTGGGACCTCCCCCTATGATGTCATAGCTTGCCATACGTGCGCCTGTCACCATAGTGATATGTCTATACAAACCACGGTATCTGTTATAAACATCGCAAAGAAGATTATTACTGTGAATGAATACATTTTAAGTCTCCTAAAGTCCCCAGACAAGTGTCATAATGTGTAAGACAGTGATGGACTGTAGTGGTAGGGAAATTGCACGATCGAAATGCTATCGTTTATTATATCCCCCCTGTCTCGTCTTTCCTCCAAGCTATACATGCTAACTTCCTTTAACCTTTCCTGGTAAGTTTTATCCCACAATCCATGAACCAGTTTAGTAGCCCTTCTCTGAACCCTCTCTAAGGTATCAATATCCTTCTGAAGATACGGTCTCCAGTACTGTGTACAATACTCCAAGTGAGGTCTCACCAGTGTTCTGTACAATGGCATGAGCACTTCCCTCTTTCTACTGCTAATACCTCTCCCTATACAACCAAGCATTCTGCTATTTCCTGCCGCTCTATTACATTGTCTGCCTACCTTTAAGTCATCAGAAATAATCACCCCTAAATCCCTTTCCTCATATGTTGAGGTTAGACCTCTATCAAATATTCTGTACTCTGCCCTTGGGTTTTTACGTCCAAGATGCATTATCTTGCACTTATCCGCATTAAATGTCAGTTGCCACAATTCTGACCATTTTTCTA